GCCCCTGCCGCCCTCGGCCGCAGAAGGGGTTGCGTTCGTCTGTGCGCTTCCTTAATGGCTTTTCCCACTGCAAAAGGCGCTGGTAATGCCTCAGTTTTTACTTTCTAATTAATCCCATATATGTTCTGAGTTAGGAGAGGCCTGGAAAAAAAGTCTTAGTGCAAAGAGTGACTCAGTCACTCTAATCCTGACCGCAAAACAACAACTAGGAGCTCTAGTGAGGAGTCCAAGTTTTAGTTAATTAAATCACACTAACTCTTTTAAGTTGAAAGACTAATAATGTGTTAGTAATTATCAGATAAAATAATCTGAAACTTTCTACGGCTGTCACAGTTAAGGATACCTTTACATTTTTTTTTAAGAAAAACAGCCTCATTTTGCATTAGGATACCACTGATATTCATAAAAATAGCCAGTCTTTTAAAATCCTTCAGCCCTGCTTGCTTCAATATCTGCATCTATCTGGAAACACTTCCGATTGTGAAGAACACAGGATCTTTGACAATTTATGTATTCAAAAACACTAGCTTTCCAGTCAAATGTTCTGTACTCTCTTCATTCCTGTGGAATGCAGGGTCAAGCTCAGACGAGCTGGACCCAGCCCTGTGTACCTTTCCTTCCCTGTTTGCACGGAAAAGCATACATTCTCTGAAACCGAACATTGCCTAATATTTGCACTTCACATGGAACCTTGAGCTGCCAAAGGGTGCATCAATATTGGAGAAAGTGACACTAACGCCAAGGCAGTAGACCCCATGTCTGTATCTTCTGGTGCTCTGAGAAGGCTAAAAATCTTGTATTTAAGGGCTGTAATTCTGTGGATTCAAATAGTAAACATTTACCCTTTCCCCAAGGTTTTAACCAGGTACGAATGGTACCTAGAAGTTGAGAGTTGCAAAGGAAAGAAAAAAGGTGATTAGCTTTGCACCATCAAGCTAAGCATAAATAAAAGCAAAGTATACTGATCATTTGTTTGTACGGTGCAAGGAGTTTAATGTTTAGAAATGTTTAATGTTCTGTCACGATGAGTTATGAAAGGGAATCTTCATTTAACAGCTCGGATACAAAGAACTATCTCCCTTTCTCCTTCCTCCCCAGTGTCAAAGGCATTAGCAGCTCTAAATTGCCAATAAGTTCAGAGATTTCCTAGGGAGTTTTAACTGTGTTTGAAGTATATAGTGACTCCAACGCTAGCGGAGTTAATCCTTGTGAGGACGGACATCTATTATGAAAGCATTAATAGACCGCCTTTTGTGTAGGGACTCTACAGAATCCTTGTAAGAAACCACAAAACAGCCTTTTCATTGTCTTTCTAGAGGCATTGGCTGTGGAACAATTTGGCTCATCAAATACATTGTGTCATCTTGAAAGAAAGAAGGAAACAATATTTCCTTGGAATGCAAGTAAAGAAAATGATATTAAAGAAAAAAAATCCAGGCAGTAATTTTTTTCTGAATCACTGTTGTTGTTTTTTTTTCTTTTCACTGTACACTGATTTTCTGAAAATTGGGGAGAAAAAAAGTAAATATTTAAGACAAGTAAATCATTTAACTTCTAGTTTCTTTCCTCTTCCTGAGCTCCATGTGGTATCAGGTTTTAAAGTTAATGTATTTCTGTGCTAAAAGAACCTTTGGCCCTAGAAGAGACTGGCTCTAGATTGCTCATGCTCCAAAATCTCATGCTAAGGAACTGTAATCTGAGGTTTACTGGTATAAAAACATTAACATGTGCCACCTGCCCATCTCACTTAGGTTATATGCCAAACCTGCTACCTCTGTTTCTCCAGATTTCCCCATCATTTTTGTGATAACAAGTCTCCAGAGAGCAGTTTACCAGTCGTTTAATCTTAAACAACTTGGCAGAAAACTCCCATTTTGTTCCATCATGCAGGTGATCTGTAGCAACCCCCCCACCCAGCACTTGAACATTGTTACTGCATCACCTCCCAGTCTTGAAGTGCTTCCTCCATTCCTTTTGCCCAGTGGCTTTCACATGCCCCTGTTGGTCCCTGTGCTACTCAGCAAAGAGCTCTTCCAGCTGCATGTGAAGGTTTTATCTTCCCTCTCTGGACCTGCAATAAACACGCTGTGCAATAGCTCTCCCTGGTCCTTTCCAGACTTCTAGCTCTGGTTTATCAGTCAGCAGATAAAGGCACCCACTGACCCATTGATTTCCCCCAGCTCTTTGCCCTTTTCGGCCACCTGCTTATTCTTTGGCATAAAAGGCACTATCAGGCACACTGTCCTCCTGACCTCCTTCTCTGACCACCTACCTTTTGTTTCTTAAGAGTGAAGTCAGTAAACCCAATTATTTGCTGTCACTGGCTTTCTCCAGCCTGAGCTTTGAAGCTCAGAAATGTCAATAAGCAGGCCTTTGCCTGGTCCCCCAACTCCAAATCTTCCAAAGGTAACTCCTGCTGCTTTCTGTAGGATCCTCCTACTACAGCCCAGCTCATGGCTTCACTCCAGCCGATTGCCTCATGTCTTAGTTGCCATACAGCTCCGATATAGGACAGGTGGGCGATACTGAAAGCAGCTAAAAATAGGTGTTCTTTTCTCTCTCCCTCCTTATCCTTCCTTCCTTGTACAACTGGCATTCCTTGAGATTTGGGCCTGGATCTACCAAATGTTGCGTAGAGTTTGGAGGTGGAGAAGGTGAGAACTGCCTAACTTGCTGCCCAGAGAGTTAGATCTCTCTCTGCTTATAAGAGCTGATAAAAACCTGCCTCCCCGCTTGGGCAGCTTGTTTAGTCACTCACAAGAAAAGGAGGGCTGGTATTTCTTATGAGAGGCGAACCAGGATTAAAAGACACAACTTGCACCCCTCATGCCCCCTCTTCTCTTCTCTTCGGTGAGACCTTGCTTTCCCTTCACCACCAGCTTCACGGGTGCGATTAATGCAGCAGTGAGTAGGAAATTCCAGTAGTAGGGCTCCGCCTCTTCTGTCTCTTTGCTGCCTGGTTGCAGAGACAGTAAACACCAGTCCTGGAGGCACTGCCCTGCCTGTGATGAGGGGACTCCAGCAGGCAAACATGCCGAATGGCACTGTTAATTCCCAGGGGGTTCTTATAATGAGACAGAAATTATTGAGGCAGCCAGGTATGAGGTACTGGCCAAACTAAGGGGAGGACTAGCAGCATGTTACCTGGTTAAGCATCAGGAGCTGAAGAGATTAGGTACAAAATTCCCAGTCATGGGTCTCCAGGCTCTCAAGCACAGACGCCCCTTCCTGCAGGCACTCTCTTTAATTCAGCATTCACTGAATGCAGCCATACTGATGGCATTTTACTAAGGGTTAGTGTAAAGGAAAATAGGGGCAAAACAGAAGTAAACTTAAGCTACCCTGAGCTTCTTGGAACTGAGCCATATGGGGGAGCAGCCAGGGGACTTAGAGCAATCTTCCTCAAGATATCCCACATTTTCCTATGTGCAAAATCAAAGTGATGTCCCTGGAGTTTGGTGTTTAACCTGCTGTTCATAAAAGGCCCCAGTGCCAGACACATAAAGGTCTGGATATGGCATGGTCTGCCTTATTTGGAAAACCCATCAGACTAAGTAGAAAGATGCATGTCCTAGCTTGTGCAAAATATTTTAATTATGTATTTGATTATAAATTCAGCCACATCATGCAATGTTTGGCAAAAGCAAAAAGAGCCATAAAATCAACTACTTCACTCTCCGCCCTTCTGAAGATTTCTATCAAAGATGAGACAAATGCTAAATAAAAATGAAGCAGGTGGAGGGAAAAGAGCGTAATAAATAATCAAACCTGCAATGAATCAGAGTCCTTAGGTAATCAAAATACTTTAGCCATAAAGATACCAGAAGAAAATAAGCTCTGTCCCTGTCTCAGGACTATATATCTCACAATTATATTGCTATCAAGTGAGAGAGTGTTCTCTACAAATATCTGTACGAAATCGTTATGCTCTCAGTGTATGCCGTAGTCCGATATTGTCTCCTAGAATCAAAAGTTAATTAGCTGTTAAAATTTTCAGCATATTCTTGTGGGATAGAAGGCTTAGTTAAATAATCACTGGACTCCAATATATTTTCTTACATTGCTTTCATCTAATCTTTTGCCTCTCTTTGCCACCCCAAGGTCAATGTATGAGAATTAAAAATATGACTGGTCTCAAATTCGGAGGAGTATATCTTTGCTAATACTATCACAGGCCAAATGTATGGGGAACTAGAACTGCACTGTCAGCTTAGTATCTAACTCAGAAAATCTACCTTCCTAGATACTAATTTTCATCCAAAAGCTTGGTGAGCCTACAGCAATATTGAAAAATATATTTTTTCCAATCTACTTGAACTTAAATCCTTTACTTTTGCCATATAGCAGCAATTACAAAGTCCTTATCTCCTGGATCATATTAATTTATCCTGCAATACAGCTACCTCCTTTTGCTCCATTTCGGCACATTTTTGCATCAGCCACAAATTCTAGTCCAATAAGCTCAGCAGTGAAAAGCAACGTGCACGTCTCCATCCAAATTAGATGCTAGGCAAGTTCCAGATGCTAGGCAAGTTCCATCCAGACAATTGTCATCTTCATTTTTGTCCATAAATCACATTGGTTCTGGGTTTTATTATGTTAAGCATTTCAATCTTAGCATGATATTGTATTACCTGTGATCAGCGCTTCAAAGGCAGCATTAGAATTGCCTAGAGAGGGCTGCAGAGCTCTTCCGTAAGGTGTGATCAATCTGAACCCAGCCTGCTCCAGAAATATCCTCTTCCTATCTTCTTGTCCTCACTCTTCTGACAGCCTCTTGTGAATGTGACTGCATTCATGAGAATTAGTCATGTATGAGAACGGTTTCTAGGATGAGCCTTTTGTAAACAGGTCATAGAAATTTCTACCAGGGTCTCAGAGATTCTGGGAGCCAAACATTTGCATTAGAGGAAACGTGAAGTCCCTTAGTACCTCATCGTCCCTGGGGAAAACATCATTGCTGTCCCAATATTGTCAGAAATGGTGTTCAAAAAAAAAAAAAAAAAGAGAGAGCTGCTTGTCAGCAAGGGTGTAGCCATATATCCAGAAACATGCTGGTGAGGCCCCCCTGTCCAGGAGTGCAAGAACTGCTCCGCATCCTGCAGCTAGTTGCTCTTTCACTCTGCTAAAGAGAGGGAAAAGTAACGCTCCAGTTTTCCCATAACATCCTGTGGCTGGAGGTACAGGAGTATGTCTTTGTAACATAATTTTCACTGAGGAAATGGTAAACTGGTATTTCAGAATCGGATCCAGAGGTGCTGACATTTCCTAAGTATCGTCAACTTAGAATACGCATGAGATGGGGGGAATGGAGTTACTTGAAATAATATGCTGAGTAAATCTCTCACTGACTGTACTGATTTGCAGCAGTTCAGTAACTTGATATCTGCAACAGCAGCACTAAACTGCGTTGGCTGGTCATGGTCCCTTTGCCTGGGGTGAAAGCAATAACTATCTGGCAGATAGAGAGAAGCCTAGGTAATAAAAGTGCCGAGGGACAGGCTCATTTCTTTTGCCTCCTCTGAGTGGTTGAGAGCAGCTGTCCTTCGTGTTCTGCTGGCTTGGAACACTAGGGAATATTTGCAAAGTCACCTTGAGCTACTGCTGAGCTCCCAAAATTTGGCCACACGCTTTCTGCTATGCTGACAATTGATGCGTGCAACAGACCAAAGGCTGCAGATCCATTACAGTTTGGCATGTCGTTTTAAACCAGGAAGGGAGACATTGCGCTAAATCTAAGATGGGTTTTGCTGAGGTTATTATTTTTAATTCCCACAGTTGGTTAGGTATTGATTACCACAAGTAACGGAATAAAGTTGTACCCATCCCTCCAATCCAGTACACTTGGAAAATAAAACGATGAAAACCCCTCTGCCTTGCAGAAATAGACCCAGAGTCTGAGACCACCAGGAGCTATGCTGGAGAATGGCAGTGCTTGTGCAATCTCTGTTGCTCTGTTTTACACTGGCTGTGCAGTGCCTCCAGACATGGCCCAGCAGTGGAGACAGCAGCTTTCCTCCCAGGGCCAGAAGGCTCCACTTGCTAGTCCTCAGAAGAGGCAAAAGAAACCAAAGCTGTGGAAACAGTGAAAAGAAAAGCTCTTGACTTGACACAGACATTAGTACTGTTCCTGCAACAGCAAGTCATTAAGAAGACCAGATGTGTTTGCTGGTTTTTTTCCCAAGGCCATTCGTGATGTTAAGTGAGTTTCATTCCTTATGTGACAAGTTTTATTTTCTTAATCCTAAGTGGTCTTATTTTAAGTGATTCCTCTTGTGTGAGCTCACTAGGCAAACTGTTTTTGCCCTACTGGGAGCCTGCCTGACATTTTTTCTCTGTCACATATTTTCTGTGCAGAAGATAGTATGTGGGGAGCCTTTGGCAGGTAGTTGAGAGACTAAATCCTTGATATAAGACCAGCAATAGCTGCATCTGGTCACAGTCTTCTGATTACTGCCTGAATCAAGCATCATATGTCATTGCATTAACTCTCCAGATCCCCTTCTATGGAGGCTAAAGGAGTGGGCCTCAGCCCTCAGTTACGAGGAATATTTGGGAATGCTGTCTGCCGAAGAAGTTTGGCTATGGAGGAATGTGAATGATTCTCTTATTTAGAGCCATTTAGGAACTCATCAAGCCTAGTCTTTCTCAATCAGCACAGAAGGCTTTGGGGCCCAGTCTGATCCGTGGCCACGGAGATGGAGCTCATGTTTTTTGTTGCTCTGGAAAGGATTTGTCAATTAGCCTCAGCCTGTCTAACTTCCCTCACGCCAGTCTACCTTTACAACCACTGTAGGCTGCCGGGGGCTGCAAGAGACTTGGATGTGCATGAGGTTCCTTAGAGGCTGCCCAGAGCAGTGACGCATGTATGTGCATGTACTGAGGGGTCCGTATATCACTCTAAAATACTCAAAGCAGGGAGATCAGCACCAACACAGACCGTGAATCAGAGAACTCTCTGTGAAATATAACACACTCCCTTGTTGTATTGGTAAGGGCAGTAGGAGATTACCAGTTTCATTGCACGCCCCATCAGCATGTAGCCTTAATGGGGGAAAACCAGGGATACCACAAAGGGACCAAAACTGGTGAATTCAGTCATACCTGTATCACACTGAAATGAGAGGGAAAGAGACTAATGGAGAAAGTTCTGTAACAGGGACAGGCCTTTTCCAGGCTGTGGCTTACAATCCCAGTATAGTTAAAGACGCTGTTAGTAACATCCAGGTGGCTTCTCTATATGTAGATCTCTAGTTATTAATGCTTTTCCAGAACAATTGCAAAGAGATATGTATTGTATCAATGTTCGTATCTCCATCCACAAATCCTAATTTATTTAGGAGCGCCAAGAATTGTAGCCTTTGATTTCATAAAAACTTTTTTGTTGACAATCCTGGTTTGCAGTTGAACTTTTTTTTTTTATCATTATTGTCTTTTTGTGGTTTTCCTTACCAATTTGGAGAAGAAACACCCAGGCTGTGAAACTACATGTTAGATCTGAACGACTGCTAGGCTCTACAGCAATGAAAGGGTAGCGCCCATGAAATCCCTCTGTGCAATCAACATTTGCAATAAAGGCAACATCTGGAAAGCATAGCCTGTGTTTGATCAGAGAGAATATCTGTAGTCATAGGGATGTAGCTAGTAAACCAGCTTTGTACACTGAAGACCTTGGTATTTTGCACGGCGCTCTGGGCCTTCTGTAGCAGAAGTGTTAGAACATGGCTTACAGATTGACCAAGCTGGTTTCATACAAAGATAATTCTTTGCTACAAAGATCACTTGTGTTAAATGTGATAATCCAATTATGTGGCCAATTATGGTCCTGAACAGTTTCCAGTGGCAGCCATCTACAAACAGTGTTCCCAACAGTTACTTTCAGTTGGTGGTATGAAATGGAGCAGCCCTGCTTCTCCGTATCTGTAGCCATTTATTTTGTCAATCCAACCATACAATGCAAACGAGTCACAGCAATTAACAGGACACAAATACCGTAAGTACTATGAGACAACAGTCCACATATTGAAAGCCAACAGCAGTTGGAGATTTTCCTATGCTCATGTTAATTCTTAGCACTTGTTTTCTAAATTTGCATGTGCTACAGGAATTGCTTTTGATGGTAGCTTTGTGGGGGAGGTTGAGACACTTGGAAAGTATGCAGAATTAGAGGACATTTTTGAATGTTTAACTTTTTCCTTTCATCTCAGTTCCAACCTTTTTTCCACCTCTCCCTCTGGGAATATGTGGACCATTCACTTTGTTCACATCTATTACTTCAAGCATACTCATCTTTTCAGTTGGTTTTATACTGTAGATATACAAAAGATGGAAAAGATACACTTTACTGTAATATTAAAGTACAATTATATTACTATGTTAATAGCATATTTGACAAGTTCATTACAATTCCAGCTTTGCATTGGCTTAGAGAAAATATTTCTTCTCCCTCTTCTTTCGAGTAAGTAAGTGTCTGGTTCTGCATAGGCAGACAAAAACAGCTGTTCTCAAGCACACACTTTCAGATTCTACCACCAATCTGCCGTAAGAAATGCTTGGCAGAATGCATTTTTTTTCCCCTCCAAAATTAAAAAGTGGTGAAGAAGTAAGATTTTATTTTGAATTTTGCAAACATCTTTGCAAACTGAACTTTAGTTGCTGACAAGCAGCAATTAAAAATATTTAAAATTCCTTTTTCCTAAATTTTTTTTTTACAAAAAAGCTTGTAGAAAAGACATATCATTTTCTACCCATCAGCACTATCTGGGCATTGAACTAGTAGTATCTGAGGAGAAATACTGTTTACAGACTTAATATACCCTGTAGCCTTTGGATTTCTCTGGGAATTCTCTCACGCACTAGGTTTGCTCCAGCTCCTTCTCAGTCAATGGGAACCTGTCTGTGGTCTTTCCTAGGAGAAGGCTCAGACTCTTAAGGAGTACTGAAGCAGAACCAATCTCTCTCCCTCAGGCTTGAAATAAATGATTTGTCTGAGGCATTCCCACAGACTTCTGCCCACTAGTTTTTGAGAACTGTACCCTGTGCCCAGAGGCTGCACTCCTGCTGGTCTCACCTCTGACAAGGAGAGGAGATACATGCTACAAAATGCTGTTGGCATTTTTAGGTGAGATATTTTCTCTGCAAGACTCACAAGCTCTGGCCAGAGTACTGAAGAATAATTAGTATTTTTGAACACTTACGCTTTGAAGAGGTATCAGCAGTTCAAATCCCACTGTAAAGAAACAGCATTGAATGTTAGTGCCTCCTAGAACACAAATCACATCTTGGAAATAATGAAATAAGAGATGTTAATAGGTCTGACCCTCTCTTTGGAAATAAAGAACAACCTTCTAGAATCTGCTTGACCCTTCTTCAGACCAAATTGTGGAAGCACAGGACGTACAGTCCTTAAATGAATAGCTACTGGAGACATTTGCAGGGAATGTTTCATAAGTAAAGAAAAGAATTTACCTGTTCTGCCGTATCTGATTAGTAAGTTCACCTAAAAAAAGGTTAAGAAGAATGTTTTACAAAGCTGGCAGTGTATTCGAGATTGGGAATTGGTGTCGTGCACCTGGATCTCATTGTCAGAGAGATATCTAGACTGGAGTGGTGGTGGGCAAATTAAGAGGATGTTTCTCAATAGTATGATTGAACATCCAAAGATTGTGGAGGCAGGTGAGAGCTGAAAACCAGGACAAATTAAGAAGAAGCAGGCCTCTTGCAGGTTAGAAGCAGATCCCTTCATTCTTATTCCCAGAAATGATCTTTTTGTGCCCTCTGCTCTCCCCTCTCATCTATCCCCATGCTGTATTCTCAGCACCCCAAAACCCCACTTGAACACTCACTTCAAATCCTCAGTTGGCCCCTCAAAGCCACACATATACCCCCTATAAAAGAATCAGAATTTGCAGGATGTGAGCACAGCTCACTGCATGGACCTTGTCCATGGCTTGCCATTTTCTGCTCTGGGTCAACTGTATGCTGTAGGCGGGCACAGGCAGATGACTTACCGTGCACCTCCTGCCTCAGGAAGTCCAGCTGGGACGTGCAGTCCCGCATCAGGCTCCTGAGTCTGCTGATTCTGGCCGGCTCCAGTTGCACTACTAATACTTCCATCTTGTCAACCCTGAAATTCTGCTTCTCAATCCTAGGACACACAGACAGTCATTTCATCAATGAAAAATATCTAGCTTTGGACAGTTAACAAACTCTAATGTTAGGCAGGCCCAATTAATTAGGAAGTACTCTACAAAGAGCAGGATGCTTTGACAATACAGAGTATCAACTAAAGAGCTCTCTTTGTGTAAGTTATGCAAGTCACCATTTTTATGAGTAACAATTTATTAGACAATACTTATTAGACCTGGATGGGAACTTTCAAATGCTGAAAATGGGAAGGGGGAGCCATTTTGCAAATATTCTTATGTGAATAGTGTCTCGCCTCTTGCAGGCCGACTATTATTGTAAGCAGAGAAACCACTGTTGTGATAGAAAGAAAATGCCAAACACATTAAATGGTGTCCAGGCTTCTGGAAAATGACTTTGATCCCACAGGCTAGATGTTGACTTGCAGCACAGCTATGAGTAATGAACTGTGCTGCTGCCAGCACAGCCCCTAGGTACACAGTGATTCAAAGTTATCCTCACAATCCAAGTTCAAACTGAGCCTTAATTTGTACAAGGTACAGAGATGATAGCTTAAAATCCAGCTAGATGTTAGAGCTAGCCCTTCACGTGACTGAAGAGTTTATTGCTGCAGCAAAATCCTTAGTGAATCTTTAACTTATTGTTAGCATGGTTTTGCACTTTTGAATTACAGCTGACACCCAGACATCAATTAGGAAGTGACAAGTCATAAATTAAATGTACCACTTGCAAGAGAAGATGTGATAAAACTGTCAAGCTATTAAGCCTGTCCACAAGTAGAACTAAAAATCCATGGGAAAATGAGCCAGTTAACTCTGCAGCGAAAAGCAGTACACTGTGACTTAAGTGCAGTAGTGTCACAAACACTCATAGATCTAGTGAGAGTGGTGTTCTCCGTAGCTGAATCCTATGATGTTCATCTCTGTGACAAACACCTCTGTGATAATAAGAGTCAGTGGTTTTCATCAGCGTTGAGTAAACATGTAACTGCCAAGGAAACCGAAACTAAAAGAGGCCACTGTAATGACAGGCAAATAGGTCTCCATTATCATTAATTGTGTGGACATGGTACACTCTAACTTGGCTGGAATAAAAAACAGGTTTGCAGTGTAAGGTGCAAGGACGGAGGGACTGTGGTTTGAGCTCCCCACTTATCAATGCCATGGTCTATCAAAGACAAAAACAAATATTTTCATGTGGAACTTACCTATCCTGTGCCAGTTTAAATTCCTACAGAAAGGATTGCCCCCAAAAAAAAGAAAGAAAAAGAAAAAGAAATTGTTAGTGTGATAGCCAGAAAGGGCAGCCGGCTGAGATAGGGGGGAATACTCATGAGGAAGCGTGGAAGGCTGCTGCATACGTTGAGGAAGCGGAAAGCATCTGCTTGCTCTCTTATCTCCTGTAAAGACTGAAGATGCCGTGCGGCCTCATCCCTCTTCTGTTCCATTTCCTTCTTCAGTTTGGTAATGTCCAACAGTTGTTTTTTCTCATTGGATTCGATATCACTCAGGATCTGCTGCTCCTTCTGATTTAGCTTAGCCCTGATCTCTTCAAAGAGCTTCACCAGCTGAGAAGTCACTGTTTCCGTATTGGTCTAAAAGAACAGATAAGAAAATGTACTGGCTCCAGAGCTCAACAATTCAGCTTAGTGTGTCTGTTTGTTAATTAGGATTGTATCTATCTGTCCTTTGCACTGCATTTAGCCTTTGCACTGCATTTAGAAGGAAGCAGACAATAAGCATTTGGTTAGAGTATCTAATTAAACAGAAGATTATAAAAATTGTCCTGATATGGTAACAAAATCAGATAAAATTCAGCTAGCAATGTGAGAACCACATTGGTTCACGCTGAAAACCCCACTTGTATACTTAAGGTGCTTTTCTTTTATTTAACAGGAAGAAAACTTCTAAAATGTGTAATGATACGTACAAAGCGTGATCCGCAGATGTCGGGAAGTCTGCCGAGTCTGCAACCTGGTTCATGCAACCACGTTAAATGGTAGAGTTTATCAGCTTGTTGCTTCTGTGTAGCTATGCTGGGATGCCAGGAGGGAGCTTGAATTCTGCCACTCTACTGCAATCCAGCATTTTCTCCACTTTGGACTGTATCTCTTTCTACTTAGCTGTTTCTCTAATTGCTGGCTGTATTTATAGTCCAAAAAGGATCAAGAGGACACCTGAATTTTCGTTCTGAATCAGCCATTGTTCTAGCCCAGAAATTCCTCTGTTCCTCACTTTACCTATTTATATTGTAGATCTAATAATAATAATAATAATAATAATAATAGTTAGAACTTTTTATAAGGAGCACTGCAAGGATGAATTAATTATTGTAAGTGAGCCAAACCAGATCCTGAGACTTGAATAACCCCTTATTAAAATAAAGTAGAATTGCAGAGGATTGATATGACTGTTCCCCGGTGGTTTGAGGTGGGACAAGGAGGCAGTGCAGGCCGCGCCGTTCCTGAGCCCAAACGCCCCCGGTCCTCCACACTGCTCCGTGGTGGTCCTCCATCCAGCTCACGCTGCAGGGAGCCAGTCGCCTCCCGGCGCTAGGCAATTTGGGTCAGGGCTCATTAGGTACCGTGGACGCGAGAGGCTGAGCGCAGCAGCAGGGCTGCCTGCGGCTCCGCAGGCTCCCGAGGGCAGGCTTTCCTCCGGTGGAGGAGACAGCCACCGCGCGACCCCGGCTTGAAACTGCTGCCAGACAGCACTGCCGCGACCACGGGCAGCCGCAGGGCCCTGTCCTGAGGCGCGCTCGATATTTTCAGTTACTATTAGAGTACCTTTGCAGCTGCAGCGTTTTAATTGCTGTCATTTACTTATAAATCGTGAAGGAAGTTGCCCTGTTTGGTGTGACTTAGGCACAGACCTTGAGCTGATTCTCACTTTTCTGCAGGTCCTCTAAGGCGTTAGCTATAGCGCTTTCATTTGCCTGCATCTGTTTCACCATGCGCGAGAGAACGCCCTAGGAGAAGGAGAGAGAGCATTAACATTTATAATGGGGAAGCAGCACAGGTAATTTTAAAACAGACTGGCAGTTTATGGAGCTGATGAAATGGCACGCGCGACTTTTATCTGACTGCTGTCATAAGCGCTCATTTCTTTACAGTGAGGCCTATATAAACTCTGTTTGCTTGCTTCCTCATAAAGATAGGGTATAACTGGAAAACTGATCTGATTCTTGGAATCTTTGAAGTCAATGTTTAATTTTTATATATGCGTGACTTAGGATGAAGTAGGTTAATAAATAGCTAAATTTCACTTTAAATAAATTATGTTTAGTTGTAATGATTCAATAAATAGAGTGAAGAAATTTCATTTCGTCTGTGACCGCTCTGTTCCTGCTAAAGTCTCCACACGTGCCTAATGTCATCCAGATCCTTAGTTTTCACGTCTGCCAGCATTTGTGGGAACTGAGGATAAGATAAGTAACCGTCTTTTCATAAGATCAGCCTAACACCGGTACTCGACTCACACAACTGCTTATTTTAGTAGATATCACAATCATTGAATGTTATTATAATGAATGACAGCACATTTCAGAAGGAGTCTTAAACTTTGTTCTTCAGGGATTAAACAATCTCCGAATATTATTTATTGGGTTGTGGCATGTTTGGGACTGGTTACTCCTCACCTGCTTTCAGCAGTGTTTTAACACTGGGAATATCTGTCAGTGGCCACTGGCAGGCACAGCTGCCACATGCCAGTGTCTTCTGTCCCTTTAATAAAAAGGATGCGAGAAAGCTTAGGTTTTTCCTGAGCTGTTTGTCACAGCTGGAAAATATTAACTTTTGAAAAAATAAAAGACAACTTTTGAAAAAATAGAAGACAATTAATCAAATTCGATGCGTTCCTTGCACCAAAAACCTTTTACGTTTCCTCCTGAAGAGCTACATTCCCGATTTCCTTAGCTAGTTGTAGAATTTTTTCCAAAAAAAAAAAAAAAAAGCAAACAAATATCGCCGCTGAGATCTCCGCTTACTCACGGAGATGGTATCCCAGAAACAGGACAGCGTTGTTCTTTTACCAACTCTGGGGACACAGGAAATGACTGTTTTCCAGTGCAGACTACTTCTGTTCAGCAGCCCTGAATATTTTTTTTTAATCTACCTTGAGAGTGAAAGTGTGTGAAACACATAACCCCAAAGGATGTTTCCTGCCGCTTCCCTAGGGGGCCGTGACCTGCCCTCTGCCCAGAGTGGGCCGGGCTTTTCCTGCCCACGCCCTGGGTTCTTCTGAGATGGTTTTTTTCTTCGGCTGTAGACTGAGCCCAGAAATTTCGCAGGGAGGGCAGCGGGCGGGCGGGCGCGTCATATCCCCCAGCCCCTGCTGAGTGTGGAGCGTGTGG